TTGTCCGCTTTTTTTTCCGCCAACTGTTCGTCTTCTATTACTGATTATTCATTTAAATGCTGGTATGCATTAATATAACAAAAGAAAAAAAAAAAGGAAGAAAATAATTAAATATTATGTAAGAAAAAATTAGAAAAATAAATGCGAAACTTCCTCTAATGTAATTGATGTAATTTTTAAATTATATAAATCAAATATCTATTTGCAAATAAACCGTTCACTGGAAAACCTGCTAACGCTGCTGAAAATATTAAGCTACTAAAGTAGCTGTACGAACAATGCATAATGATGTTCACGTAAGATGAACTTTGATTGCGATTTAAATTGCCGGATTTTCCTCTTTCATTTGTCTCATCTGTTATTTTTGTTGTTCTTTTTGCACCTTCATTTTTGTTCGGCAAAAGGTTTTTTATTCTCATATAATCTCCTTTCTTCTTTTTTTGATGCTCAAGGTATCCTGAAGATTTTATCACTTATCGATGTTGTTAAATTTTTTCGGATCTTTTCTTATTGGGCACAACTTATGGGTAATTTTTATGAATATGATACTGTTAGATGTATCTGTCGGTGTTTGTGTTTGCGTGAGTCTGTGTGTCTGTGTCTGTGTCTGCGTGTCCGTTTGTATGTGCTTATGTGGGGGATCTTGGCGATTGGATATTTATGTGTGTCTGTTTCTGCCAATGTATTTTTGTGTAAGTGAGTGAATATTTGCTGGTATTTTCCGGGGGAAGGAAAAAAATGACAAAGAAAAGAAGATGGAGGGGAAAAAAAGGAGCAAAAGAGAGTGATAAGGAAAAAAGTTTTTATTTTTTTTTCCATTCTCTACGCAAAGAATTTCCTGTCATTTAACTTTTTATGTTTATTCATTGGTTTTTATGTCATATGTATATATATCTTGAATTTTGATTTTGTACTGTTTTGTTTTGTTTATTTTTGTTTAGTACTTTCTTGTTCCAGTCTGTTATTTTCACTTTTTTTTTTTCCAAGATTGCAACTGTTGCTATTGTTTGGTATAGGCTGCGTTTTTTTTTTTTTTTTTTCGAATTCTTTCTCAGTTGGCAATGTCATATTTTTAGTTTTTGGGTAGTTAGATGGGTGGTTAATTGATTACTTAGTTGAATTAGCTGAAGAAAAAATGTTAAGCTGTTGGCGGAAAAAAAAGCACAACATTTTTTTGTAACTGGAATTGTTCTTTTAACTTTTAAAGTTGTATATATGTAAGTAAATTTGTTATCATTGACAGTTATTGTTGGTCGTGTATAGTGATTGTAATTTAAGTTAAGGAAAAAAGTATTTGTCGTAATCAAGTAGTCATAATTTGTACTGAAACAAATTTTTTTTTTGTACCTGACTGCATGTTTGTAAGTTTTTTGTGTATCGTTAGCAATAAATTTTAAAAAAATTTATGCATTTACTTTTCACTATTTTTTTTTTTTTTTTTTTTTTTTTT